GATCTGGTTTCATGAATATTCTTTACAGCTGCGTATGAAAAGTAAATCTGTTGCTGGTTTGATTGACTGGGCTGTTTCTTCTTTATCATTCTGCTTTCTCTGCAGCATCATATGGAAATGCAAATGACTTGGAGGCTCTCCACACCTTCTTTGTCACCTTTTGCTTCATGTGAGGTGGTTTGTATGCTGCAGTCAGCCCCTAAGACTGGCCTGTTCCATTCCCTCGACTATTCAGACAGGTGACAGTTTTTGGAAAGGAGTGGACTGTTGTTCAGGTTTTTCCTTATAAGTTGCCCTTGCTTGTAGCCTGGCAGAGGAAAGGATCCAGATGCTGGCTTCTTGCAGAGCCTTGCCTGTACTGTCAATTGTCTTTGGGCTGTTTGTGCTTGGAGAGGGACTGTCCCAGCCTGCACACTGCCACGTGCAGTTGGACATTGCTTTCCAGTGCTGAAGGACAGCACAGAAATTGAAGTTTACAGGAACATTTGTTGTGCACAACTTAGAGGATTCTCTACCTTTGGACCCACTACACTCTTTTCTGTTCTCAGACACAGCAGTACTGATGTTTTTATACTTTTTAAGCATGACTTTAAAACCAGCCAACAGCTGTGAGTTTTCCATGGAGGGCTTCTGCTCTTCACAGAATGCAGGCTGAGCTCTGAGCAGCCCCCCCTGCTCTGCACAGCCACTCTGAACCTGAAATTCTGCAGTCAGTTGGACCAGCCCCAGCAGAGCTGTGGTGTTCCATTTGTGTAATTAATATAGCTCCTAAAAGATGACTGCATATCTAAATGATAGACCTTTAATGGCTCCAGGGAGCTCTCATGGCTCATCCTTGTAAGCAACGCTTTAGATTCCAAAATAGATGCAACAGTGAAGCCTTTCTTGTCACCACGGGGTGACCTTCTCATAAAAGGCTCTTCTCTACCACAGTTGTGATCTCACTTTTTGTCAAATGTTCATATTTTAGCCTAACCCTATAAAATTAGGAAGTTAAATACTTTTTGGCACGGACACATTTGGTGCGGTGTCATCTTTCAGCAGCATCTGCTTCTGCAAATAGAAGTGATCGATTTTGGTCTTTGGCTGCCTGTTATCAAAATTTTAAAGATATAGTTGTGTGACTCTTGTGTTGAATTAATAGCAGGTCATCTTTGGAAAGATGACACTGCTGTTAAGTGCTAAGATTGACAAAAAGAAGTTCAGTTGTGCTGCGATGATAATTGATTTGGTGTAATGTCTTTCTGTCTCTGGGAACATTTCTGTCACTCTTGCTGCATCCACACCCCTACAGACATCATAGCAGCAACTAAAATTTCAGATATCTTAGCTCTGCATCACAGCTATTTCTCCTTTTATATTACCATCTCTTTTTTTCCCCATTTTTTTGTCAGTTAGCAATCTCTGCTTTATATCCGTTAAAGAACAAAGCAACACTAAGATGCAGAGTTATATGTTGATGTGTGGAAATATACTAAAATTGATGACTAAATGTACTTAAATTGGTGACTAAATGTTGCTTGTGTTTGCAAGGCCTAAGGTGGCTGCAGGGTGAGAGGTGTCTGATGGTGCCACAAAAGCACTTGGGCGGGCAGGGAGCTCTGGTGCTCATCAGGCTGATTCCCTGTGTGCAGTTGTCCCTGGAACTGGACAAGTGCAAAGTCAGACCTGGTTGTTCGAGGCCTTGCAAAGTCACTCCAGTCCCATTGTGTTGCACAACCATCCCTGTTGTGAAACTTCCTTCCTTTTGTTCAGCCCAGCCAAGTTGCCCTTTGCAACTTCATTTCCTCTCATCCTCTTGCTGGGACAGCGAGGAGATCACACTAAAAGTTCATTGCCCTGCATTTCAGGAGAGCAGATTTTGGCCTCTTCAAAAATAAGCTTGGTAGAGTATCATGGAATAAAGTCATGGAGGGAAAAGGGGCCCAAAAAGCTGGTTCATATCCAACACTAACTTCCTCCAAGCTCAGGAGCAATGCATCCTGACAATGGGGAGCCAGGCAAAATTGCCATAAGGCCTGCATGGATGAACAAGGATATCTTGGGCAAACTCAGCCACAAAAAGGAAGCCTACAGAGAGTGGAAGCAAGGACAGGTAGCCTGGGAGAAACACACAGAGATTGTCCGAGCAGCCAGGGATCAGGTTAGGAAAGCTAAAACCCTGGAAGAATTAGATATGGCCAGGGACATCAAGGGCAGCTAAAAAATCTTCTATAGGTACATAATTTTCCCTGTTCTTCCTTTTGTCCCCGACAGCCCTAAGCTGTGTGGTGCAGTGGACACACTGGAGGGTTGGGATGGCATCCAGTGGGACCTGGGCACACTGGAGAGATGGGACTGTGCACATCCCTTCTGCCACGTGCAAATACTGCAGTTCTTGGTAAAACACAAGGTGTGAGGAAATGAACATGATTATTTTAACTGGCACCCTGAATTAAGCTCACTTTTGAGTGAACAGCTGTTTAGAAAGTAAATAGACAAGAACTGAATAAGCCAGTGTCACTGGAGTGAAACATTTGCTTTCACAGTCTCTTCTGCAGCAAACACTAATCTTCAAAACAGAATACAAACATGATTTAGATTTTCTCTTTTTTCCCCCCTAGGAAGTCTGAATTATTGCGACCAGGCTGGCTGTCAGTGAGCTGTGTATAGATGAGCCTGGCTAGTTATGAATTCCTCTCTTTCTACAAAATTAGCTGGTGTTAAACATTGCCATGATTGTCCACAATAACTTAGCTCCTGCTTCAAGCAGGCTGAGCTGCAGCAGAGTACAAGGGGTGTGTTTACTTCGTTCTAAATAAATGTTTTATCACTCAGCAGTAATTGGATTGTGATTGTATTTCAGTAATTATTCCCAACTGCAAAGATGTTCTCCACTTTGCAGACGTGTTCCCTGCCTGACCTTCACGCTGCTGGTCTGAAGGTGTCTTTCTTGATCTAATTATGTATGATGAGTTTTTTAGTTTTGTTTTTTAAAAAAGGGGAACTACTGCCAGGGGTATAATAATTTGTCTTTGCTCCAGTTGTCATGGTGCAAAAGTGTCAGCACTTCAGTTCATGCTTGAGCTTTTAGCTGGCCCTGGAGAGGCAGAATGATGCAGGGCTTTTTCAAAATGCATCATGACATTTAGGGCTGTGCAGCACCACACTTCTCTCAGTATCACAACCCAAATATCCTGCCAAGATTTCTCATACTTTGTGGAAATTTGTTCCGTATTTAACACATCTATAGACAAATGATTTCCTAGAGTGTCTTGTAGCTGACCAAGGACTTCATCCACTTCTCTCAGGTTCAGACAGAGTCTGCCAGGGAAGTTCTGGATCAGTGGGTGGCAATTTTATATGCAAGAATAATATTCTGTGATTAAATCTTAATGAGTTTCCAGAGCAGCTAATATTTTTTCAAGAGGAAAGCGCTGCTGAATGTCCTTAGAGAGGACTGCTTTGTGACAGCCTGCCTTCTGTACAGATTCTTGTGGGAGAGTCTCTGCATTACACAGACCTTGCCAGCCCATCACAGGACATCCCCTGTGTGCTTGTTTGAAGCTCTAAACTCTTGGTTGGTTGGCTGCCTGACAGTTTATATTTAATTCAAATATATGGCATTCAGCAATGAACTTATTTCTGCAGTCCAGACTTAGGCTGCTCTGATGCCATTTTCTGTTGACTCCAGTCCTGGTCCTGCTTTCTGAAAATTGTGGTTTCTGCATCACCTAAAACATATGTTTCAAGCATGAGTAACTTATTCTAGAGAACCTTGTGTTACAGAACAAAACCATTTAGTGGGTTACAGTGCTTGCTTGCATGCTGCTCACAGGTTTTGGTGATTTCATCAGCAGGAGCAGTGCAGTGGCATTGAGCTGTGAGCAGCCTTTAGCTGTGCCTGTGTTGCAGCCCTGTTAAAGCACGTTTGCTGTGCAAGCCTACTTCTTATTTTGGACTGAGACTCTTAAGGAATTAGCTGGGCTGAAACTCAGACAGCCCAGTTTAAGTGTGCAGAGCCTGGGCAGCATCTGGTGCTGGACTGGTTGCACTACTGAAGAAATCTTTCCTTGGAGATGCTGGAAGCATTATAACCCTGACTTGCTGTGAAGTTAAATTTCACGTTTTCTTCCTCTTTTGGCTTTTTTTTTTTTTTTTTCCCTCTCTGTGTTGGGAATTAGCATTTTCATCCTCTGACATTTCATCACTTACTTCCTTATTGTGCTGTCATCACCCTACCAATGAAGCTGCCTTCCCATTTCTTATTACCCAAATTTCTTAATTACAGCCTAGAATTGAATGGTTAATATGTATATCTGGCTTGTTTGAGTCTAAGTCTAAGCCTTTCTTCTACTAACAAAGTTGGTTCAGAAGAACTAATTTACAAAAAGAAATCCAGGGCAGTAAACTTGAACACCTACTGACTATTTATAAAAAGAGAAAAAAAAAAAAAAGTTTTGAAAGGTAAATAAGCCTTTCTATCGAAACAATATAGAAAAGTTCCACTTCTACCAAAGGCAAATTTTGTGGTATTTATAAGGTTTGTGGTCTTTGAAAGCCTAATTTTTGTCCTGTTCTGTTCACAAATGTAAAAGTGACTTTCTGCTTGTAAACCAGCACAGTTTATTTTGAAGCTTGCTTCTTTTGCAGTGCGTGGAACGTGGCTGGGATGGAGGAGCCCAGCCTGTCTCACCAGCAGCTGTTCAGCTCTGGCATTCAGGGCAGGAGGGAAGTTGGGTACCTGGAGTGTGCTGGCAGGGATGGATTGCAGGTCTAGAGGCCAAGGTCTCCAGCACTGTAATCACTTCTGCTTTCCTTCCCCACTTTTCTCACTGTGCCGTCAGTTTTATGTTGGAAAAGCTGCTGAAAAATAGTATTTCAGCAAGTACTTCAGCAGTACTGTGTGATTTAGTGCATGCTAAAAAAAATAAAATTACTTCTGGGTATGATGTAGGGCTGTATAACCAAAACTGTATTTTTCAAAACAACTGGTTTTTTCTTATTTTTAATATTTCCAGGGAGGGACGAAACAATGCAGCCAGCCAGACCATCATTCCTTGAATACTTTGAACAGAAAGAGAAGGAGAATCAAATCAATAGCTTTGGGAAGAATGTTTCTGGCCAGACAAAAAATTCATCTGATTGGAAAGTACCACAGGATGGAGACTACGAATTTGTAAGTCTATACTTTGAAATTCAATCAATGTGACAATCTTTAAGAATTTTAGTCAGCTGCCATGAGATTATTTCTTGTTTTGACAGACTAATGGAAACTTGAGGAGGTTCTAATTGCTAATGCATTTGGATGGGGCATTTGAAAAACTCGTTTTCTTTATGTATTTCTCAGTAATCATAGCCAGTCATTATCTGTAAATGTTCCTTGTTTAAAAGCAAACAAGGAACAAAAAAGCCTGAGGACACGAAGGTATAAGCTGTCTTGCTTTACTTCCCCATTACGCATTTAAAATTAAAAAAAATAATTCCAGATGGCAGTTGGAAAATGCAAATCCTCAATGTCTAATGTTTGGCAAAGAACAGCATTAGAACTATTGAATTTCCTTGTTTTTCTCAAGCTTTGGCTCTGGATTTTGTTTTATTATACAAACATCAAGCTTATCTTCATTTCTCATTTCAAATCCTTATTTTCATTCTTCCCTCCTAAGGCTCACGTGCTCAAAAGTTTCAGGAACTTTTCAGAAGTTCAAAGAAAGACCTATTATTCATAAATTTGATTTAAATTTTTCTCTGTGTGTGTGTGTATGTAAAATTTCCTGTTTGATTTCAAAAAGCCAGAAGATGCTGAACGTTGTTCCCTCGTTTTTCTGCAGTGATCTTTCACTGTGAGCACTTTTTGCTCTGTGTGCCCTTGCAGTGCCTGCTCGTGCTGCCTGTGGTTCAGGCTGTCACTCTGGCAGTAGCTGGTGATATCCACCCCCAAAATGTGCAAAGCAAATTCCCTCTGCTGTTCACGACTCGAGGAGATGCCTCCCTTCAAGGCTGGAATAACAGCTGGAGTTTTCATTCTTTTTCTGTAGATTGTATAGATTTACTGCTGTTATTTTGCTGTCTTTGCTCCTGCTTTTTTATTTTCTTGTTCAGGCTGCAGAGAATAGCTGAGGGGACCTCCTGCATTCCCTCTCTCGTAGTTCTTTGCACTATTATCTTTGGTATCTTTGGTCTCAAGGCATAAAGCCACTGCATAAATGTGTTTTGTGCACACAGTTCCAGTCGAGTCAGATACTTCATTTATCTCATTCACCTCATGCTGTACCTTAATTGAATGATAAACAATTGTTTTTTAATGAGTGGCATTTCCCAGGAGACATGGGCTGCTTTGGAGGATCTTCAGAGTCTTTTGTAGTCTGCAGAGGATGGCCCAGGGGGAATTTGCTGTAATTATTTTACTTTCTGATTTGGTTGATAACAAGTTTAGCAGTGTATTTCCTCTGAGTGGGATGCACTCCCCTGGGCACCCTGGAGCTGTAGGTGCAGGGTACCCCCAGCCAGCACAGACAACACAAGCAAAGGTCTCTGCCTTTCCAGCAAGCAGAACCCACAAATATTTTTAGCAATGAAAAGCAACTCTTGTGACATGTGTGACCCTGTTTACTGATTTCCCTTAGTACTGCAGTATTGGCATGTGCACAGATTCCCACTGTGCTGGAAGCAATAAAAGTGAGCAATAAATCGTCCTTTGGGTCACTTTTGTGAAGTAATTTGTAGAAATTTCACTTCCCAGCTCTATGTGTTTCTCCAGTTCAGTTGTGTATGAATATACCAGCCTGCCTTGCATGTAAATTTTGGAACAGAGCTACTTTTTTTTTTTTTTTTTCCTGTAGGATGAGAAAATTGCTTGCAAGCAGCCATTATAAATAATGTGGGTGTTTCTATAGCCCTTATCTGAGAGTTAGTACAAGCTCATATTGCATAATGTAGTCAAAGACTTAAAATAATGTATTTTTCCCATTGGCTAAAAATTGATTGATTTCGTGACTATCTGTGGGTAAAAGTCATGTTTATTAATGATTTATTAATTGAAAGCATCAATGTAATAAGCACTGTGGAATAAGAAAAAAAGGCATTCATCAGTTGTATCCAGTACCTCTGTCCTAGACCTGCCTGCAGCTATGACTTCTGCATTGCCAAGTAGGCAGGTTTGAGCAGCCTTTTCCTACAGTTTGCAGCATTCCAAGTAAAGATGAGATCAGTGAGATGCCAGGTAAATCTTTGTTCCTCTGGGCCTTAAGAAATGATTGAAATATTATTGCTTTCTGCTACTGCAGACTAGATAAATATGTTTTCTCTTCTTTTCTGTATTCCTCTCCTTCCTGTGTGACTAGCACCTGGAGTCTCCTGTCTTCCCAAAAGAAAAAAAAAAAGCAATATTAAATTACAAAAGATTTTCGCTCTTTTTTTGCCTGTGGCAAAACCATTTGACCTTTTCTTGACTAACATTGTTCTGAAGCAGGCAAATAAGACACTATTTATATCACAACGGCAATGTCACATTAGATGAGGGTTAGATTGAGTCAACCCCATCCACTGCAGAGCTGAAAACCCAGAAATCCTGTTCTGAAAGGTGATGAACTCCATTCCTCCTAAATGTGATGCTCTGGCTGTGTTCTGGTTGTGGTCAGAGATGGCACTAATCAGAGTATTTCCAGAAAAAGTATTTCCAGCCTTGGATTTTTGAGGTGGAAGTTGTTACTAAATGATTAGTCAGTGCTTGATGCTGTTAATGTTTATCCCCTCTCATGTTTGAGCAAGGATCTTTTAAGCCCTGTTTGACTGAGAACAGTATTTTCAACAACATTATGATTTATTTAACATGGGGAGAAAAATACTAATTATGGGCAAAAATTCTTGCTTTCAGGAAGAACATAACAAACTCTAGCAGAGATTGCTGCAGGGGTAGGCTGATAATAGGCAGGCTGCATTGTATGGATAATTACTAATTGCCATAATCAGATCTCAGAATTTTTGTAGTTGCATTTAATTTTGCCAGTGAACATTAGTCACATGCTGTTGCACAGACTTAATAATGCCAGAAGATTTGTTTAGACAATAACCTACATTTTTTTTCACTTTAATCTTTCAGTAGTACTGTAACATATAGGAAAATTACTTGTGTAGTGTTTCCTGCCCTTAGACACAACAAATCCTTTACTTATTCCTATTTTAAAAGCCTTTTAACTGCTCTGAGCACATCAGTATTCTAATATCACTTGTGGTTAAAGTAGAATCACTTGTTTTTATTCTGACCCTGCTTGAAAGGCTCTCGGTGTTGCCAAACCTATTGTAGCACATATTTGTGGATCAGCCAGTCATGAATGTTTGGTATTACCTCAGTAATCCTTCTATTGAAAGCCTGTTTTGTTAGCAAATTAGCAGGTGCCAGCCACTCCTGGCTTATGGGACCTTTGACAACACTGAAACCTTTTCAGTTTTATGTCATGAGTGTGGTTTCACAGGCAAAAATCAGTGGCACTTCGGCCCTGGTCAGTCTCAAATTTTGCCATCATGATGGGGCTGTGGGGCTTTTTCAATACTTGTAGTGTTAAACTTAGGTTTTGCTGTAATTCTAAGTCATATTTTTTTCATTTATCAGTGAATTTTTTGCTATCCTGGGGGCTTGTTTTGGATGTGGAGTCAAGTAGGACATGAATTTTCTAACAGAGATTAGGGCAAGAGTACTGTAGGACATCAAGTCTTCATGGAATTGGAGCTGTTTGCTCCAACATTTTCTTTCATTCCAGCACCTGTGGATCTGCCAACCATTCCTTGCCTGTGCAAGGCTGCCTGTGGAGAGCTGCATTGGTGCAGACACTTCCCTGGCTCTGGAGCTGCTCTCTCTGCTGCCCTGGCAGAGCAGCAGGAGGGAGCTGGGCTGTTGAAAGGTGGCGGTGCCATTCCCCTGCAGGAAGGTTTTCTGCACTGGCAATCTCCATCCTGCTGGGAAGGAAGATAACAACCAGAATCAAGGCTTATGTGTCTTTCCTAAGTGTGCTGCTTCTTTTGGGAAAACCCTGCTTTGCTTGCATCTGCAAGGTCTTGGTGAGTCAGACCTTTCCCATTCCTGCAATTATCAACGGCCCTGATATGGATCCATCCTTCTCTCTCCTTGGCTTAATGGAGAGGATCTGCATTCACAGGTTCTCTCTTTGAAGCAGAAACACTTCAGAGCCGAGTTTCTGTCCTTGGGAAAATAAAACTAACATATAGCCTTGAGAATGTCAGGTTTTGCAGAAGTGGAAGTGTGGATATTCTCAGTTCAGTCAGAGAGAAAAAGAGATTTCTGCCGGGCTAAGCCTGGGAAAAAGTCGGAGAGGAATGTAAACTATCTATTATCTTGCTTTCTGTTCATATTGTTCATAGATATGTTCTACCACACTGACCTAAGTCCAGTGTACCAATCAGGTGAAATGCTTTTGCTTTAAGACCAATGGAATTAATGTTCACGATGCTCTCTATAAATTAGAGAAGTGCTTTTGAATAAATGTTCACTTTGCCTTCTGAAATTGTGGGGGTCATTTCGCCCTTCCCTGGCTCAGCAGCGTCATGGAAGGAGCAGACGTGGCCTGCTTGTCAGGTTTCTGTGGAAGGTGGCAGCTGCCTGGCCTTTGGTGACAGTGCCACCACCCTGCAGTGTGCTGGGAGTGAGCCTGTGTTTCAGCTCGCTGTGTCCCTGCTGGGAGTGCCGTTCTCTGCCTTTGCCCATCCTCTCAGCTCCCTCTGAGCAGTGTCTCGCTGCCTGCTGATGGGAATTTCTTTGGACAGGAAAGATTGCTGTGATTTCCCTGCATTCCAAAGCAGCCTTCATCACTTCTCAGTGCACAGTGTCATCTGTTTCTCTGCTGCAGGGGAGGGCTGTCCTGCAAGCAATAGAGCTGTGACTTAGGAAATTTTTTCAGGGCAAAATAAAGAAGGATGAGCAGGAGGTGTTAATTGCCTCTAATTGGGAGGAAGAATGCAAGAGCTCATCAGCTGCCACTGCTTCTCGGTCTGTAAGTTCTGGTCTCCACAACCTGCCTGTCAGGAATGGGCAGAGAAGGAGCTTCAGGAGCTGTGGGATCACACCCAGCTCTTCCCCACCTCCTGAACTCTTCCCAGCTGTTTGACCTGCTGCTTCCAAAGTGCCACAATTTGCTGTCCATGTGTGACTTCTCTGTGGAATGT